CCTGGGGATGCAGAGATGGTCAGGGCTGTGCAGCAGGCCCTGGGGATGCAGAGATGGACAGAGCTGTGCTTTGCACAGTGCATGGAGAGCAGGGCGGACAATCAGCTGTCATCCAAAGAGCTCAGCACACCGGGTCCAAAACAGAAGCAGGGGGCCTCCAGGAACATTCAACCTAAAGAGAAAATTCAGACGTAGGGGCCAAACCCTGCAAGTGCCCTATGGCACCCGGTGAGTCAGCTGAGCCTGCCAGCCCTGAGGCCCCTGATGTCCACGTCCTGATCCTGGGGCCATGAGTGTGCTGCATTACACTGTGGAGGGACCTACGGATGCCAGGCAGGTGGCTCTGATGCAGGCAGATTGTCCTGCGTCACCTGGATGTCTCGGGCTCCCTAACACAAGCCCGCTCCAGCAGCTCCAGTGCCCTCAGCTCAGCTTGGTGTCCTCGCCATGCCCTAGACTGGTTTGAACACATTCTTCCCAGCCCCACGCGATGCCCCAGCCTCTCCGTCACACTTCCGGCCTTGGCTCTCAGCTAGCTGTTTCTCCAAGGAGCCCAGGTCCCCTTGGCTAATGAACAGAAGTTAGGAGCCAAGATGTGCATGCATAGGTGTGCACACATCTGGGGTGTCGTCAGGACCACCAGGGGAGAAGGGTACACCCCTCTTTAACCTTAGTATTGGGAAAATATCTGCATTGAGAGTTGGCTCAGAAATTCTTGAGAAGAGGGACTTGTGGTCAGGGCTGATCCCCTTCGTTTGGGTCACTTGGTTGTAGACATTCACTCATCTCCAGAAGCCCCCCGCTGCAGCTCCTAGATTTGTGTTGCACTGAATAGTGCATCGCATAGCCTAGCCAAGCTGATGCTGATGACCACTTGCCAGGAATGGGCATCCCAGCCCCAGGAGGCTGAGGCAGGAGGATCCCTAGGGCGAGTCCAGCTTGGGCAGCGTAGTGACGTAGGGAGGCCCTGCCTCAAATTACAAAACGGCACAGGGCTGGGGATGCAGCCTCAGGCAGTAGCGTTGTGATGGGTTTGGGCAGGTAGCACCCGCAGCCCCAGAATCCAGTGCCAGACGTCACGCTGACGGGCGATGCCCACAATAGGTTTGGCTGCGTTTCCTGTTACCCGTGGATATCAGTGCGGTTTGTATAGGGAAGCCTCTTCTTTCAACTTTTATAAATTGTTCACATTTCTCCCATTTTCATGTGATTTTATTACATTTCTGGTGTTTTTCAAGAGCTTCTTTTATATTAAAAAGACAGGAGGCATGTTTCTCTAATACTCACTGGGAGATACTTCTTCCCGGCTTGTTGGGCACCTTCTGGGTTTTGTTGCAATTTTTTTTTTTTTTTTCATTACTGGAGCCTCGACCCAGAGCTTTCCGACTGAGCTGTATCCTTGTCCCTGTTTTCATTTTTAGTTTTTGAGACAGGGTCTCGCTAAGTCACTAAGTCACCAGGCTGTGTTTGACCTCATGACCCTCCTGCCTCAGCCTCCCGAGTGCTCAGAGGACAGGTGCACCCCCCCCACCCCCCGCTTCAGTGCTCTTTCCCCACCCAGGCATAAGAAGAGCTCAGCCCAGTTTCCAGCCTGCGCGGCTCATGGCCTGTGTGAGCCTGCTCCGGATGAGCATGTCCCTGTGCACGAGTACAACGCCTGCCCTGCGCTGCCTCTCTCCGGATGGGCCACACTTGGCTCCTTTATTAGAAAGCCCAACTCTCCCCAATGACGTCGCCCTGTCCCAGAGTGCCCAATCCCTCCACCTCTTTACACAAACCCCCACTGTCATCTCTCCTCAGGAGCCACCAGTGGGTCCTGGCCACCGACAGCCTGAACAGCCACCATTGCTTACCTCACCTCAGAGCCAGGGTCTATGCTCATAGCTGGCATTTGCTGAGCACTTAACGGTGTGACAGCTTTGTGCCGGTCGCCTGAAAGTCACCTCCTTTCCATAGGCAGTGATGGGGGCGGAGGGTGTTTCTCCCCCTGTGTCTGCCTAGCACTCGGCTGCAAGCCCAGCTCTGTCCTGATGCCTGGTACACGCAGGGCGCCTGCCATCGTGGGGGATGTGAGGTCCGAGTGCATTGAAGGATTACGTGCTGCTCTTGGGTCTCCTGAGCAGGGGGCCAGGGCAGGACCAGCTTGTCCACATGGTTGGGCAGGAGAAGAAAGGATACCACGAGAGGCAGGGCCACTGGCAGGAGGCCATCATGGGGTGTGGCTGTCACCAGACGTGGGAAAAAAGCACCGTCTCTCACAAGAGTGGGTGCTGAGAAGAGACAGGACCCTGGCTAGCCTCAGTTTCCCCCGGTGCACGCAGTGTCCTGAGCCAGGCTGCAGGCCAGGGCCAGGTGTGTGATCAGATGGAGGACTCGGGCACCAGGAGGGGCCGCTCTGCCAGCCACATATCACTGAGTCTCCCAGGGGACACAGGCGAAACTGCAGGGGCCCGGGGCCCAGGGGTCCGGGGGGTCCAGGGTCCAGGACAAGGCAGTGGCCTCAGCACAAGAGCCACCAAATGCTGGCTGCCTGAGGTCACTGTAGCGCTGGGGCCGGGATGGGCCTGCGAGTGGTCCGGAAGTGGCAGAGGGACAGCTTCCAGATCTCTAAAACTGGAGGGGACTCCAGTTTCACAACAGCTGCATGTGGAAGGGACTCATCTTCCACAAGTGACAAGGGCGGATGTGACACACAGAACACAGGGAGCGCTCTAGGGACCTTCGTGTCAAGACAGCTCCCGGCAGCTGCCTCATGGCTTGAGTCTTGTCCCAGGAGACACCAAGGGGGAGCCTGGTGTGGTGATGAGCCTAGAAGCATGCCTTGCAGGCTGGGTGTGGCCCAGCGAAGGAACACCAGGCACCTACTGGGCCCCAGGCCGTGCGTTCCTCTCCTGCACCACAGAGCAAAGCAGATGGTCTCCCAGGGGAAACCCGGGGCTGAGATGGTGGAGATGTATGGGCCAGAGAACCGCGGGCATTCTTGTGACCCTTGCCTGGGACCATGGCTTGCTCTGATTTTGCAGAGTGGAGCACAGTGACGGCTCAGCACTTGGCACCTGCCTGTGGGTCCCCCCAGGG